GCTGCTGCTCCCCGGCGGGCCCGCAGCGACACGCACCCTGGAGCATCCTCAAAGCGTGCTCTGGCCACGCTCGCTTCCTCTCCATGAAAGAAACGTGCGTCTTGCGATCTGTCAGGCCACCTTTGCAACCTCGTTTCGGCTGCCTTCCCCTTCAGCACGGTGACTTTTGGAGATCTTTCTCCAGGAAGCGGCGGGACGCCGGAGCGAAGACGGGGTGAGGGGGCGGCTCTGCGCTCCCACTGCGCCGCGGGGACCCACGGCGCTCGGGCTGGCAGTGAGATGCTTGAATGTGATGGGTATTCACTGCGGCCTGGCCAAGCACCGGGACAGCGGGGACGCCTAGCGCTGGTGCTCCTGCAAGGGAGCGAGGGGAGCTGAGGGATGGGGCAGGAGCGGGCTGCGGGTCAGGACAGGAGAGGAAAAGGGTCCCGGGCTGAGGGAGAAGGAAAGCAGCACTGGGGGCAGCTCCCTCCGGGTTGTTTCAGACCCGCTATTGCATGGACATCGTTTAACAGGGGCTTTGACTTTGTGCTCGCACCACACACCACGAGCAGATGGCAATTATATATCCTATATTGCAACAGTGTTATATATTATATACTACAGTTATTGATTACTAGATGTGATACTATGCTTCTCAACTAATACTAGAGTGAAGTTTTTGTTTCAAAACACCTTAATGGATAAAAAGTCTCAGCCTCAGACTTGAAATTTTCTGCTTCTCTCACCTCCCTTTCCACATTTCAGAGGAAAACCTGAGAGAACTGATCAATTGGAAAGACAAGGTATTTCACAGGGTGAGCAATTTTTATCTCAATTCATAAAGATGGCTTGAAAAAGAGATGGAAAGATCATCTCAGGCTATTTTCACTTTTTAATAACACTGAAAGGCTTTTATTTAATCTGATTTTTATGATGGAAGTATGAGAATATATTTTTTTTTCCAGGGAGAGGAAAGAAGAAAAGATTGCAAAGGTTGTTCCAAGAGCCAGGAGGGTGAGTGGAAATAAGACCGAGTTTCTTTAGGCTATAGAGGGGCTTGTTTCTCTTAACTTTTATAACAACAACATTAATAATTTACGTATTTAACTTTTTTCACCAATTTCTAGCTTGGAATAAAAAGACCTTTGATGAAGAACCAGTATCTTTCCTTTTTGATTAGACTTAACATTCACTAAGAATATTTTGTTTGTCTAGAGAAATCTTCAAAATTGTAAGAAAAAATATTGTGCCATCTTGATATTTTTAGGGTAAAAATTAAAACATAAGAATCAAAAATGTCTCATAGGACTTTTATTATATGAGAAAGTTGTGAATAGAGTATATGTGAAATTCCCTGATGATAGTTTTTATACCACTTTAAAATTACCTGAAGCAATATCTCAATTTTAACTGCACCACAGTTAAATTTTAAGCAGAACCACAGCTCTGAATTTTACTAGGTTCCATATTCATTCAATGATCTCCCTCTGAGCAAGAAGATGAGAGGAGAGGGAAACACAGGCAGGGGTTTGTGACCTGCCCAGGTGAGGTTAGCAAAGGTCAGCACTCAGTGACATGCAGCCACAGACCTGTGCTGCTCACCATCTATTACAAGAAATAAAAGTTGTTTTGTGTGTGCCTGAGGATAAAATCTAAAAGAGCCTGTTTTTTTCTTCCTGTGTGTCAAATAATTAAACTTTTATTTAGAAACCAGCTACTTTACTACATTGCTCATGTGAAATGGTCAGCCAGTGTGTAATGATTTTGCCCCTTAATCTGGGAAAAGCAAACAAATGAAAGCTGGCAGCAAGAGCCACCTTCCACTTACTGTGCAATGAACTGTGATGTGCAACAAGAGCCATCGATGCTGAGATAGATAAACAGCAAAATTTACTTTTTACTGAGGAAATGCAAGCTGTCCAAGTGTCTGATTGAGTTACCAAACCACTCCATGATTCCACACTCTGTGTGTGTAGCTTCTAACTGACAGGAAAAACACTATGTAATGCTTCCAGCAGAGGAACAGTACTATTTGCACTTGGCTGAGGGAGTGGATCTGCTTTATGGTCTTTTTTTCTCACTGCAGGAGCTGACTGGTATGTATTCAAAGGGTCAGTATTATACAGAGTCCCCCTTCAGTTTTCAAAACTTGTTGTTTTGTCATGATTTGATCATCTGGTCTGTTGATCTGTAGGCCAGCCCCAAACCAGCCTCTGGTTTGGGTACTCAAATGCTGCACCTGTAGTTGCTCCCTCCTAACTTTTCTTGGCCATAAAGTAACACAGAAAATTCAGATCTAGTATGTTTGTTGCCATGTCTTGTAATATGAGCAGAAACAGAAGAAGCAAGAGGCCACCTTTCTTTTCCTTCACTCTGTGTCTCACACAGGGACTAATCTGACCCAAGTGAGAACCCAGTATCTTTAGAACTTGGTGTTCTTAAGAATTGGACTCTGATGATGAAAAAGTAAGTCTTCCCCTATAACACATTGTGCCAGTGGCAGCAAGGGTAGATGTTTGAAATCCCAGGAGTTTTGGTGTGCCTGGAAAACCATTAGGTCAGCCACCTATGCAGGAGCGTGTGGCTGGGTATGGTTCATCAGATGAAAATCACCTCAAGGTTCCCAGCTCTGGGAGTTCTCTTTATCCTCACTGTGATCCCTCCTGGAAGAAGGCCTGACTCTGCCCTCCTCCTTTCCTTCTGGCCCCATATCCACTAGGGGGTGGAAAGGAAAGCCAGACAAAGGCCATACTGGAGCCCCAGTGCAGTTCAATGGCAAACCAGTACACACAACAGGGATAAACATCAGCAGGTGAGCCTGAATGCAGTCTGCGTGGTTTGGAACTCTTTCCTAAACCACCAGGAAAACAAATATAATGTAGATTTATTTACATTACTCGTCGTGAGAGACTGAGACGTTAGTGGTTAATGACTCAAAACAATCAGCCACGTGTGGAGGCAGCAGGGTGCTTTACTGAGGCTGGGTTTGCACCCCCTGGCCAAGGAGGAGGAGGGAGGGCACCCAGCAGCGACTATGGCTCATGTTGAGAAAAAGCCTGCTGTGAGACTGGATGGATAAGGCAGATATCTAC